AGTGAGCTAAACCCAGCTGATGCCAACCTACGCCACGCTGGTGGAGGGGCATTGAGAGTGGTTGGATCCAAGACCTGCCGCATTGAAGTAGCCGGACGAGTGACGGTTCAGCCGGTCTTCTTCGTGCGGGGCGTGCAGCACCTCTTCCTCTCTGTCGGAGCGTGCAAGGCACTGGGTCTGGTGCATATTAACTTTCCTCACCACACCCACACGGACGCCGTGATCAGTGCCGCAGTGAAGCAAAAGCCAACTGAACGGCAGAGCAGTGACCCGCAGTGGCAATCACCTGCGGTAGAGCCACCCAATCGTCCCGGCGACCTGCCGTATCACCCTACAGAGGACAACGTACCGCAACTAGAAGAGTTTCTGAGGCGGAGCTTCGCCAGCACAGCCTTCAACAACGAAGCCACGCCACTGCCGGCCATGAGAGGCCCCCCTCACACCATCCACCTGCTGCCTGACGCCGTGCCATATGCAAGACATACTCCCATTCCGGTCAGCAAGCACTGGGAGGAAAAGGTGAAGGCGCAGCTGGATGAGGATGTGCGGCGCGGCGTGATAGAAAAGGTTCCGGCCGGTGAACCAGCCATATGGTGCGCTCCTATGGTGGTCGTAGCAAAAGCGAATGGACAACCGAGACGAACAGTCGACTACCAAGAGCTTAACAAAGTCTGCCGGCGCGAGACACACCATACCAGACCGCCGTTCGACATGGTGTCATCAGTGCCAAACCATAGCTACAAGACGACCCTGGATGCATTTTCTGGGTTTCATCAAGTACCCCTGGCCGAGGAGAGTCGCCCGCTGACCACATTCATCACGCCGTGGGGCAGGTACAGGTATCGACGTACGCCCATGGGCCACGTGTCAGCTTCAGACGCGTACACCAGAAGATTTGATGACGCCATCGTGGACATCGAGAGGAAGTTCAAGTGCGTAGATGACGTGCTTCTCTTCGACAGCACCATCAAAGAAGCGTTCTGGCACTGCTGGGACTTCTTGACAAAATGTGCTGAAGCCGGGATCACACTCTCTCCGGAGAAGTTCAAGTTTTGCAGGAGAGAAGTGGAATTCGTCGGCTTCCAACTGAGCTGGAGCAGCTATCGGCCTACGGGAGACAAGGTGTCCGCAATCGCCGATTTTCCTATGCCGCAAAACCCGACAATCACTGACATCCGCTCCTTCTACGGACTAGTGAACCAGTTGGCACCATTTGTCGCCACAAGCCCCTTGATGGAACCATTTCGTGAGCTCCTCAAACATACACAGTCGAAAAAGGTGTATTGGGACGAGCATCTGCAGCAGAGATTCGAAGAGGTGAGGAAAACCCTTTGTAAAATGGTGGCGAAGGGTCTTCAGTATTACGATAAGGAACGGCCGACCGTATTACTGACAGACTGGAGCAAGAATGGCATGGGATTTGTCATCATGCAGCAGTATTGCACGTGCTCTGGGCCGGACACGCCGTTCTGCTGCAAGGACGGCTGGAAGTTAGCGCTCTGTGGCAGTCGACACGCCACGTCAGCCGAACAAAACTACGCTGCAGTGGAAGGCGAGGCCACTGCGGTGGTTTGGGCGCTGAAAAAGGCCAGACTATTCCTCCTTGGCTGCCCTAAGCTGGAGATCATAACGGACCACAAGCCCCTAGTGAAACTCCTGACTGATCGGGCTCTGAAAGATATCTCCAATCCCAGGCTGTTCAGACTGAAGGAAAAGACGCTGCCGTACCGGTTCAGTATCCGGTACCGACCGGGTGGCTCCAACCAGGCTGCAGACACGTTGTCGCGTTATCCAGTGGGGAGGCCTGGGCCGACTGAGGCTGACCTCGAGCTGGACGACGAGATGAATGCGGCAGCGATAACTGCGACCGCCGGTTGCAGCGACACCATCATGATCAGCGATGAGACAGTCCGCCGTGCCGGTGCAGAGGATGACATGTACCGGCGACTGCAGCAGCGTGTGCAGACGGGTGACTGGCCAGCCAGCAGCACTCAGGAGACCGGTGAGATGAAGAACTTCTTCAAAGTCCGCGAACGGCTCAGTCTAGTGGATGGTCTGGTCTGCTACACATTTGAAGGCGGCCCTCTCCGGCTCGTCATTCCAGCAGCACTGCGACAGAGGGTGGCCAGGAGTCTGCACGCCGCACACCAGGGCGTGGACGGCATGGTGCGGCGTGCCCGCGACTCGGTCTACTGGCCTGGTTTTGAAGCCGACATCGAGCGCAGTCGCACCCAGTGTGTTGACTGTGACGAACATGCGCCGTCACAGCCCAGAGAGCCGCCTATCATGACGCCACCGCCGGACTACCCATTTCAACAAGTAGTAGCCGACCTTTTTGAGATCGGAGGAAATAAGTACATCGTTTACGCTGACAGGCTGACGGGCTGGCTCAGGCTAGATGTTCTCAGGTCGGCCAGTTCAGGTCGCCTCATTTCACTGCTGAGACGATATTTCAGCGAGTGTGGAGTGCCGGAAGAAATTTCCGTCGACGGAGGGACCAACCTGGTCAGCGCCGAGATGCGTGCGTTCCTGGACCGCTGGGGCGTGGCCATTCGCCAATCGTCAGCCGGCTACCCGCAGTCAAACGGCCGGGCTGAGGCGGCGGTAAAGTCGGCCAAGGCGATCCTGCGCACCAGCACGTCAGCCAGTGGCATAGATTCGGATAAAGCGATCGAGGCGCTGATCCAGTACCACAACACGCCACTCCGAGACGGCGGCAAGTCGCCGGCTCAGCTGCTCATGGGCCGGCAACTAAGAGGTGGTGTCCCGGTGGTAAAGAAGCATCTGGTAGTGAACGATCACTGGACGGATCATCTGCAGAAAAGGGAGGCAGAGATGACTCAAAAGATGCTGGAAAGAGCAGCCCCGACGTCTGCGAGGAACAGGGACCTGCCACGCATTCATCCTGGGCAGACGGTGCTCGTACAGAATGAGAGGACCAAGCGTTGGGACCGTAGTGGCTTAGTCGTACAGGCCCGGTGCGACATTCGCCAGTACACTATCAAACTGGATGGCTCAGGACGCTTAGTGCTGCGGAACCGAAGGTTCCTCCGACCACTGCTCACCGGCCACGCGCTCCGAAGTGGACATGACTCACCACAGCCCATAATGCCGCGAAGGTCCGAGCGACTCCAGCAGAAGCACATGCTGATGTCTTGAGGATGGAAAGCTCGGAGCTCGGAGGGGAGATGGAGGATGTCGAGTCAATACTACATACTATCACTCGTCCTATGCGGAGTACCATGTTATAGCGTGGCGCATTCTTATGGTCTCGTGATTATGATTTTACGTTTATTAAAAACGAACGGATATTAGAAAGAAAAAGAGAAATACAGTCTTGCTTTGGAGGCTCACGACTTTGCACAGCCATTAGGACCCGACAACCGGTTTTCAAGATATTAGACTTTTACTTTTGTTTACTTTTTGGGATCTCCGCTGTTCCTAGCGATTTTATTTGGAAGCAATAGTTTGGCAGCTGAAAGTGCGGCACTTGTTGCGCTCAAAGCAGCATATACCACCGCGTGCTACAAAACGTTTTAGTCGAACATTTAAAAATCGTTAGATATCTGCGCTGACGTCACACATTCAGAGGGGTATTCCTATGCATTAGCCCCTCTGAATCAAAATGCTGCAATTTTGAAATTCAATATTTCCGATTTAAGGCATTTCTCGATGTTGTGAGTGCCGAAACCGGTAATTGTGAGCCAGGGACCCCATTTTGGCTATCTCAACTCAAATCTAATGTTAAGGTGGGAGGGTCCCTTTAAGTCGGCGGGTAACTAAGATCTCTGGAAGATGTGTCCCCCGTTTGCTGACTCCACAAAAAAATGCAAGCTCGAAAGGAGGCGTAACGCGATGTTTTTGGCCCCTATATCGAAGATCCAAAATATTTTATTGGACGACTTGTTAGCAAGTAGGAAATGTGGGTGTCATACGTTGACCCTGAGGACATGACCGAGTTGCGCAAGTGGAAGCACACTGAGTAACGGCCACCAAATGAGTGCAACGTGGTGAGGTCAGTGAGCAAGGTGATAGTGGTTGTGCTTTGGGATGCTGACGGGGCTCCGCTCGTCAACTTTCTAAAATAGGGGTGCACAATTGATGATGAAATCCACACCTTCCTTCGAGAATGCTTGCAAGCAGCAGATATCGAGGAGAGACTGGGGAAGCTGGCAAAAAGTGTGAGCCTGATCCAGGACCACGCACCTGGCCCCGAGCCCTATCCACACGGGGCTCCGGGGCCCGTCCACCAGGGGGCCTGGGCCCCATCCACACGGGACCCGGGACCCATCCACCCAGGGGGCCCGGGCCCGTTCTCCCGGGGCCCGGGCCCCATCCACCGGGGGGTCCGGACCCGTTCTTCCGGGGGCCCGGGCCCCATCCACCCGCAGTCCGGGCCCCGTCCACCCGGGGCTCGGGGCCCGTTCTCCCGGGGCCCCGGACTCATCCACGGGGACCGGGTCCCATCCACCCAGGGAGCCCGGGCCCGTTCTCCCGGGGGCCCGGGCCCCCTCCACCTGGGGCCCCAGGCCGACCCCTCACCCGTGGTATCCCAGTAGGCCAGTAGGTACTTTTTTCGAAGCGGGCTCGTCCGATTAGATTAGGACCTCTCTCTCCTCTCTCTCTCTCTCTCTCTCTCTCTCTCTCTCTCTCTCTCTCTCTCTCTCTCTCTCTCTCTCTCTCTCTCTCTCTCTCTCTCTCTCTCTCTCTCCCCCTTTCTTTCTCGAGCGGGCCCGACAGAAATTTCGGAGGGGGGGGGGGTCAGCTGACCCTCTGACCCCCCCCCCCTTGCTGCGCCACTGTGCGAGGGCCTTTAGGTCAACCTAAGGGCATTACTCCAGGCGCCGCTCCTGTGTCATGTGTGTATCGGTGTTTTGGGCCGGCCCTGTCGAGCCGAGCTCCTGTTGAGCCAGTCATGTCCGTCCGAGTCACTTTCCAGCCGGGAGGCTGGGCATGATAAACTCGAGGATTGAAAACACGCTTATAGACATAGACATAGACATAGACATAGACATTTATTAAGGCGATCCACAGTGCTTGTGGCTATTACCACCTCTCGTCCAAGATACAAAGTCATAAAAAGTATGGGGTGGAACATACACGCACACAGGTGAATGGGTCAAATCGATAAAACGTCACAGTATGGTATAAAAGTAAACATTAGTCCGGTGGTTCAGATAGGTAACGTTTGAGGTGGTGAGGGAACACGGTCACAGGTAGCTCAGTGAGTATCGATGGTAGTGAGTTGAAGAGAGCAGGACCGCGACAACAGAAGCGCCTCTTCCCCATTTCGGTACGTGACCGGGGCACATAGAGGTCGCAGTCCTGGCGAGTCGTCCTGGTCAGTGTCCCCAAGGCTTCGCGCCTGTTTGCCACAGTAACAAAGCCCTCGGCTAAAGCTTGGGGCTCGCCGTGATTGCGCACCAATTGTGTACGAGACAGAGAGTGTGTTAAGATGCCAGCTTCTCCGCGCTGAGCCAACCCAGCTCCTCAAGCAGGTGCGATACATGATCATGCTTTTTGCGGCCGAAAATCATTTTTGCCCCATAATTTAGAACTTTCTGAATTTTGGCAAGGTTCTTCTTTGAGCCGTTGCCATACACCGTGATACAGTAACGGACCTGCGAGAGGACCAGAGCGTTGACCAGCACGGAAAGGACGGACGATGGCAGGCGGCTCCTTAGATGTGACAGACCACTGAGTATGCCGAAACAGCGTCGTATGACTGATGCAACATGAGTGTCCCAACTCAGCGTGCGATCAAACACGAGGCCGAGGTTCTTTGCTTCCGAAATAGGTGAAATGTTGTGATCGCGGAATTTTACCATAAAACTTGGGGCATTGCGCAAATTTTGGCTGCTTCCCAGTAACATCAGTTGAGTTTTTTTAGCGTTTACTTTCAAGCCGTTTGTACGAAACCATCTGTCAAGTGAGGCCAATGTGATTTCCATCTTCTGTATTACGTTAGAGAACTCTGTACTTTTGCCACTAACCAAAATTTGGGTGTCATCAGCGTACTGTACTACTACTGCGTCCTCGGCGAACAGACTGAGGTCGTTGGCGAAGACGCAGTAGAGCAGAGGGCCGAGACAGGATCCTTGGAAAACACCGATGTTGTTGGGAAGTGGAGCTGATTTTTTGGTGTTCCCCAGAGTGTCAGTGAGGCTGACACTCTGTGTGTGGTTCCGAGGATAAGAAGCAAACCAACTGATATCAATTCCGTACAGCTGCAATTTTGTGAGTAATTTGTCGTGGTCTATCACATCAAAACATTTGCTCAAGTCCAGCAGGCAGATGAGTGACAGCTCTCCCCGATCGTTGGCGGATAGGATGTGATCGGATTTGTGAAGCGGCGCGGGATAAATATTTTCGATTTGAGGAATTGAGATTGGAATTGAGATTGAGGATTGGAATCTGGTAAGTGCAAGCCAGGGACCCCATTTTGGCTATCTCAACTCAAAACTTATGTTGAGGTGGGATGGTCACTTTAAGTTCGAAAATTTCACATTGATGATATCATTTGACCTTGAAGGCATCGTTCTAGGGTAACCAAATTTAGACCACAAAGAGTTCGCGAGTCTACCTAACCCACTCATAAATTACTTTTGTGTTTCTTGCTCTTTTGGGGTCTACATAGATAGCGCAAGACAGAATCAAAGCCCCAGTCTGGATATCACGCAGGGCTAACGTTCGATGAGGTGAGCACTGAGCAGGTTTCTTTAGACCTCATTCTAAGCCGATCATGCACAGTCGTTTACTATACTACGTGTCGGCCGAAGATATCCTCTACCTTCGTGCCACTGTATGGAACAGTCACGCCTCACCCATCTGGCATTCATGCAGTCTTGCATGTCCACATAGTAGGTGTACGGTCCTCAGTAGGTGTGCGGTCCTCAGTAGGTGTGCGGTCCTCAATACGAGTACGTGTACGGTCCTCAGTAGGTGTACGGTCCTCAGTAGGTGTACGGTCCTCAGAAGTGTGCGGTCCTCAGTAGGTGTACGGTCCGACGTCCACCTCCACAATGGCTCGGTGCTCGGTGTGCAGCTGGCCGTGGCGTGACACGATCATGGTCAGCTGAAGCCGCAGCGTGTGCGGCCCCGAGATTGGTCGCACCAGCACCAGGGTCGCTGCCGAACAGAGCAGGCGCGCCGTGTCAGTGCCACTGACTGGTCCGTGCCAGCAGCGCGCGCCGGGCCAGTCCTGGGGAGGGCGGCCGGGAGCGCGGAACGCGAAACTCAGTGAACGGTTAGCTGTGGGGGAGGTGTCAGCGGCAGAGCTGGACTGTAGGGGAGGTGTCAGCGGCAGAGCTGGACTGTAGGAGAGGTGTCAGCGGCAGGGCTGGAAGCATGAACAATGATCAGAGTACCCACACATCATAGAGACACACATCATAATTTCAGAGTGAGTGGGCACTGGGCAGTGGTCAGTAGTCCACCCTCGCCCGTATTGGCCCCTGATCAAACTAGACCTTCGCGAAGGGACCATTTTGGCCCCCCTGTGGTTTTTCCTGAATAGCAAGAAAACGGCGGCGCGCAGCGCCACCAAATTTTCAGTACCTTCCCGGGCATCAATTTGACACCTTCACACCAAATTTCAAGTCTAAGGTCACCTTAGGTCAGGAGTTATTGAGGTCAAACTGAGGTCATGTTCGAGCAAAAATGAGCAAAAAACATGCAATCTTGAAACGCTCACCAAATCTACAGTTATCAAGCAATTTCAAAGTTCTTTATATGGTCTAGTAGACAAAAAGCGGCGCTACAAAACTGCTATCTCGGATTTTCATAATTTTGGGGGTTTTGACCCAAAAAAAAAATCAAAAAATTGATTTTTTTAGAAAAACTAAAAAAAAATCCAAAATTTTTCCGAATTTCGAAAAAATCGGAATATATATGATAGTCCCTGCGCTCTTCTATATACATACCAAATTTCAGATCGATATCTCGTTTTTTGGTCAAGTTATAGCGATAAAACTTCAAAAATGATGACGTCAAATTTTTGAACTCAATTTTTAGCGATTCTAGACCACGTAAGGCAAAACAAAGACCACCATTGAACTCCCCGTGACGAGCTGCATCGATTCGATACCCATTTTATGCAAAAATATTAACTTTGAAATTTGACCTAATTTGACCTGACCTTGACCAAATCGTGACCTAAGCTGGCCCCAAAGGCTGCCTGACCAACATCATCGCACTTGTCATGTAAAATGGACCATAAAACATGTATCACACGACACTTTCATATCGTGACCCCCCAGTGACCTGACCTCTGTGACCTGACCTGGTATCAGTGACCTCAAATAGCAAAATATGTGTTTGAAGAACATTTCCCCATCGATGATTTTCAATGAAATGCATTTTACTCGATTTTACAACGCATTTCTTGAAATGCCTGTAAACGGTGAAAATTGGACCTTTAACCTGACCTGTGACGTTATTGGTTTGACCTAGGTCAATAAAATTGGGTCACAAGGTAGTTCCCTGATAGGGCTATCCAACACCGTTTGCCGCTTGTCGCTAGGTTGCGTGGTTCTCGAGATCTTAGGGGGGGGGGGGCAAAATGGCCCCCAACAGGGCGCGTTGCTCGGCAGAGCCCAACGGGGCGCGGGTTAAGCTTCTAGGTCATTAGTTGACCTCCCAGGTCAAGTCAATGACGAAAAAATCTGGAAAATCGAATTCTGCTAGAACAGTAGTCGGCAGGCTTTCCAGGGTCGTGCCCCTTTTTGGGCGTCAGGCAGGGCCTTAGGTACTATTGGTCTCAAGTTAAGGGTCCAGGCGACCTGTACAGGGTGTCCCAGAATTACCCGAACATTTATATTCTGGATACAATTACGATTGCGCTGGATTCTAATGGTATACAAGCATCATACTTTTATAGGATATCCCTTAACCCGCGCATGACGGGGGGGCTCTACAGAGCCCCCCCCCACACACACTCCTGTTTTTCAGCAATATCTTCTAAACCGTTTGAGGGATCAACACGAAACTTGCGGTACCTTCAGCGGCATGAATGTGACACCTTGTGTTAAACTTTCAACTTTCTAGCTACCATAGTTTATCAGGAGTATGAAAAATAACCTCTTGCTCATATCTGAAGGAATTAAAAAATTAAAGACCAATGGTCTTTAACCCTCGCCCGTATAGGGGGGGGGGGTCGAACGGACCCCCCCCCATGGTTTTTCGCGAATAACTCGCGTAAAAAGCGGCCGATCGCGACCAAACTTTCAATACCCTCGCGTTCGTCAATTTCACACCTACCCTGATAATTTCATGACCCTGACCCAAATGACCTTTGACCTGTGACCTACTTTTCGAGACCATGTTTGGCTGGAATCGCGATTCGGCGTATGTCGGCTCGCATTAGCCGCGCGTTTGCAGTCTTTTCGTGGTTTCAAGCGTTCAAACATGTGATATGATGTTGCCCCCCTGCATTAGGGTGGGTGTCAAGGTCACCTGAAGGTCAGGTCAGGTCATTGACCTTTGATGACCTCGGTTCACTTTTTCGAGTTTTACATGTTTCTAGGCCAGTTTTTGGAGCTGAATTCGAATTTAGCAACCATATGAACATTTACGAAGTAGTTTTGGTACCTTCGTAACATGTTACGAAGCTGTCAGAGGCGGTTGCCACCTACTACGAATACCCTTACTGGTTGACCTGACCTGACCTGACCCGACCTGGCCTAAATACATGAAGACATCATCTGTAATCAAAACTAACATGATATTCGTGATCAGCACCCCGAAAAACCCCATAGCAGCCACACTTTACGACGTTCTAACAGGTCTCGATTTTCCCGCCTTTGGGGTCATTGACCTGACCTGCAAGGTCAACCCATGACCTGGGACCTTAAAATTGGGCATCATCGGCTTCCTCTCGTCACAGGCAACACGCTCGTTTTTTCCGCGAAGCTCTAGCTCGATCAGGGGCGAAACGGCAAGGGGGGAGGTCCAACGGACCCCCCCCCCCCCCCTTATACGTTCGCGGCTGGAAAAACACCAATACGGGCGAGGGTTAATGACCAGTGGTCCAGTGGTCTTATGACCAGTGGTCTTTAATTTTTTAATTCCTTCAGATATGAGCAAGAGGTTATTTTTCATACTCCTGACAATCTTATCAACAATGCTCAACTCAACGTTTCAATACCTGAAATCCTACCATAGTTTGGCCGGAAATGACGTCAAAGTAACGTCATGTCGGCCGATTTTGATGCAAAATATTGAATTACGGCAAACGCTCTCAAGAGCTCAGTTTTGAAGCTAAATCCACTTTCTTTGCATGAGTGAAATACAAATACACGTAGCTATCAAACTGCTATCTCGAATTTTGAAAATTTTGAAAAATATATATTTACAATTACAACAAATGTATTTTTTTATTTTTTCAAAAAGTTTTTGACTTTTCGCAAAAACCGGAATATCTGTGATAGAACACGTCCTGGTGAACTACACTAGCAAGTTTTAGTCCAATATCTTCAAAAGTAGGCAAGTTATTCGCATTATTGTCAAAAATTTACAATTATATATTTTTCAAATCCATTTTTCAGTACGTTTTTGACGTCGCACAGCAATATAAATGGCACTATCGTGTTTCTGAGCTCAAACTGCATCTGATAGGCACTTTTTTGTTGAAAAATTTTGTTTTCAAAATTTGACCTTTTCTGACCTGAAAGTGACGTGACTTCCGGTAAATTCAGCTGACAATGACATCAAACGACACAGACGACACTATTTTTAAAATATACGAGTAAAATGGACCATAAAACATGCGTCACGTGACCGAACCATGATATACAATTTTCGTGAACTAGGATGACCTGGCCTTGACCTTAAAGATTCGAAGTAAAAGTTCGTTACCCTCAGGGTATCTAAAGCATCTATCACGGAGTGCGTAAACTAAAAATGAGCCTGATCGGACTTGTCAGCCGGTGGTCAGAGCCTAAATTGTGAACTAGCAAAAATGTCGATGATTTTTATTTTGACCTGACCTGTGACGTCATCGGTGACCTCGAGGTCAATGAATATAGGTTTCGCTCGAGCCAGTTTTCCAGGGCTATCAGACGCTATTTGAATTTTGACGATCGGCCCAGTAGTTTCGGAGACAGGAGGGGGGGGGGGGGGGGGCTCTGGATACAGTTCTTTTCCGTTTTCAGCTTAAGTGGTGAATTGTGTGTTATCCATGACAGATATATATAAAAAACGACAATATATTGTGTCGTCGTTTATATATTAATTGTGTATTTGAATATATTGTCGTTTTTTAAATTAAGTGGTGAAGTTGTTTACCAAAAACGGATCCCGCGACTTGGAGCACTTATACTGACCTCAGAGTTTATCGGTTGACCTGAGACATTCAACTCGGGTACCAGTTGCTGCATTTCATACGACGCACGCGCTTAGTTTTATCCGCAAGGCGCTAGCTCAATTAGGGGCAAAAAGACGGAGAGGGTCGTAATCGCCCCCCCCCCCACGGCAGGGGTATATTCAGAAAACCCAAAATTCCGTTGAGGGTTAAGCACTGAAGTGATATTATGATGTGAGAAGGTACAGGTCAAAACAAGTATGCACACGAGCTGGTGTGAATAAAACTGTGTTCGAGGTATGCCTTTTTTATTATACATTCGATTTGCTTTAGTTATTGGTAAGAACAGATACGACCAAGAAGAGCGCCGTTTTAGTCGCTAGTGTGTGTAAGATTACAGGGTGTACATAGGATCTCCAGACGTAACTAGATGGCGTTGAGCCTCAGTCGAGTCCATGTGAGATTCGACCTGTCAAACAGCCCCGGCGCGGGAGGGCACTGCCGCAGGCAAATGGCGCACTCCAGCGTTGTTCCATATCGCGGTGGTGGGCCGGACGGCCGGTGGCGGTTAGCTTGGCAGTTGGCTGCTTGGAAGGAAAGGATAATGAGGCATGGGTTTGCTGTGGCCGGTTCATCTACTGTCAACTATGATATGAACCCAAAGTAATGCAAATGTGATGTTATGCTAGCGAATGCAATGGAATGATAATGGAATGGAATGCAATGGAATGCAATGGAATGCAATGGAATGCAATGGAATGAAAATGCAATGTAATGCAAATGCAATGGAATGCTAGCGAATGCTCCGGAAGCCCAGTTGAGTGACAGCTCTTCCTGCGAAACCTTTTTATGGGTCGAAAATGGCAGAAATGACGTCACTCCGACATCATTAGCGGCCAACCTATCATAGCCTTTGGGAAAATTTTTGGTCACAATGTGCAATAGCTATTCACAGGAGGGTACTGAAAGTTTGGTGACGATCGGCGCAGCGGTTCTGGAGATATATCGAAAAAACTAAGGGGGCAAAAAATGCCCCCACCGCATGGAAGGTTGAAAAAAGTACATTGATCTAGGTCACAGAAAAGGTCGTGATGCATATAAGTGAATTCGTATCGTTGAGCTGAACGCATCCATGGTGTTTTCAGCGCTCTAGCATGTTTCTATCTAAGTTTGTTGTCGTAGACCCGGGAACAGGGGGGGGGGGGGCAGCGGGGGCGCTTGCCCCCCCAACTTGAGAGCCGAGGGGGCGGCGCCCCCTCAACATTGAGGCAGCGTGAAAGGATCTTTCATCCCTTTTCCGGTCTTATTTCCTTCTTGTTTACTTTAGGTATACATCTAAACATCAACACACGGCCTTTTCCTAGCCATCTGAATGGTTTCTGCTGATACAGTATCGATTTGACAACATCTGCTATTGTCATCCCGCTTTGGTTTGGGCCTGGCCTTGGCCATAAGTTTGGCATGCCAAATTTTATACTGGGCCATTTTGAGTCAACTTTGAGAAATACATAACGTACAACGGTGGTAAAATCGTTGCTATACATAGGTATAACACAGTTTTACTCGCTCCGGGTGTGAGGGAGGGATGTGGGACAATGAGTGCACTGAGGTAGCGCCCTCGGAGGGCCGGTATGGGATTAAAGCTCAGCAACACATAAGGGCTTGTATGGTGCCTTCGGTTATCGATAACACACTCAGAATCACCGGCGTAGGGCCCTCAGAGCCGCCGGTAACGGACCTTTAGAGGCACCGGTGTGGGGCCGCCATGCAGGTGCCGGTGTGGGCGCTCAGAGGTGCCAGTGTGATTCTCTCAGAGGCGCCGGTGAGGGTCCTTACAGGCGTTGTTGTGGGCCCTCATAGACGCTAGTGTGGAGCCGTTACAGACGGGTGTGGGGTCTTTTGAGCTGCTGACGCGAACCCTCTACAAGCCGGCAGGGGGTTGTCAGTGACCGGCAAGGGGCCCTTAGGCCGGCAGAAGAAGTCTTGTGGGGTCCTTAGAGACCGGCATGGTACTGTCAGACGCCGGTGGGGCCCGCAGGGCTCAGAGTCACCGGTGTGGGGCCCTCAAAAGTCACCAGTGGGTGGCCTTTAGATGCGCAGGTGTTGACTGTTGGGTCATCAGAGCCGCCGATATAGGGCTTTAACCCGGCAGTTGCTGGGGTATTTCGCCACCCACCGTTTGCTGGGGGGGGGGGGGGGGGCGTTAAACGCCCCCAGCCGATAACTCGAGAACCAATAGGCGCAGCGAAACGCACGAGGCGGCAAACGAAAGAACGCGACGAGACGCTTCAGATGAGTACTTTAAAGTTGAATTTTGAGGTCACAGGTCGGGTCAAGGTCAGGTCAAACACCTGAAATCGGGCTTTCAGTAGCATGGACTTCAGGACTTCGCAATGGGCGCCTCTCGTCATAAATTCTGTCCAAACGGTGCACAATCCATCATATAAGGCCTACAAGAGTGTCAGCTCCATGTAGGGGTCAGTCAAGCATAGGTCAGGGTCAAGGTTAGGTCAACCGGGTAGGCACATATCCCCGAAAATCAAAACTGATATTCGCAGCCTGTGACACATGTTTTATAGGTAATTTGGGGCGTAGAACATGATGGTGACATTCATTTTATCATATGTGTACGTGTTTGGCTCAAAAAGTTCAATTTAAGAAATGCATGCATCATGGTCGTGAAGTAGTTACGAAAAATTGCCAAGATTCAGTTCAAGATTATGGAAAATGCGGGACGATAATCAATAATCGAAGATAGCCATTTGATTGATCATGGTATTGGCAGTCTAATGGCGTTTACGGCATGTCTGTATGTCTATTCTGTGATTTTATATGATTTTTTGAACATATGCCGTTTTTGGTCGAAAACTCAGAAATCATGACGTCACTAAAACCTCGATATCTCAAAAAATTTCCGACCGATTTTTTTGAAACTTTGTCACAATAAACTTCAATCAATTCCCTACAGGTACCCGAAATTTGGCGCGCCTGCGGCGCGCCGTTTTTATGCTATGGCCCGGCGAAAAAAGTGGGGGCGTTTAACGCCCCCCCCCCAGCAACTCGCGGGTTAATAGGCACTGGTGTAGACACTCAGAGTTGGGGGTGTGAAACGCTCAGAGGCACCGGTGTGGGCCCTCATAGGCGCCGATGAGGGCCCCCACAGTTGCCGTTATGCAGGCCCGCAGAAAAATAAGTGTGTGACCATCACAGACGGGAAATGCCCCTAGAACTGGCCCCTCATAGGCCGGTAAGAACTCTCAGAGGCCAGTAACGGGCCTTTGGAGACCACCGAGGGGCCCTTAAAGTCTGCAAAAGGCCCTCAGAAGCCGGCGAGGGCCCTTATGCAGATCTTAGTGTGGTTATTTAGGGCCCATGAGGTGCTCTAAAGAGCCCCATGGGGCCCTTCTGAGTCGAAATATGGCCATCGTTAACCCTCAGCGGTCAAATGGCGCCACAGGGCCTCTCGGACCCGAGGGTCCCTTTGAACCCGCCATGGGGGGGGGGGGGGTACGTGTCCCCTTAGACCCCTAGCTACGCCACTGCCTCATATGCATCATGTCAGGTATTTTAGGCTCGCCCCCCCCCCCCAACTTGAAAATCGTTCCCGGGCCCCTGTTTATTGTAAACAAGATCTGGGGATTGTGCTGGGGATTGTAGGAGACCCTGGCCTGCCGTGTGCTGGGTATTGTACGCGGACGCCGGCCGGTCGTATGCCCGGCTGTCCGGGGGCCCAACAGCGCTCACCTGTCCGGGGGCCCAACAGTCCTTCTCTCAGCTCCAGGTAGTGCTGCTCGTTGCCGGACACCAGCCGGAAGTGTGTTCTAAAGCTGCGGTCGTGCGCCCCCAGCGCTCCGAGCGTGGTCAGCGGCCGCGGGCGCGACAGCGCGCGCACCGAGGCCAGCGCCACCTGCTGGAAGCTATAGGTGGCGGTGCGACTGCGCAGGCACGCGGCGTCGCGCGGTCGGCACCTTTTTCGACACACGTACGATCCGTCCTGGCTGCCGGCCGGCAGGCTGCGGACGGAGGGACGCCATCAGTGATCGCCCGACCACTGCCTCCCCCCCCCCAGCCGACCACTGCCCCCCCTCAGCCGACCACTGCCCCCCCCAGCCGACCACTGCCCCCCCCAGCCGACCACTGCCCCCCTCCAGCCGACCACTGCCCCCCCCCCTTAGCCGACTACTGCCCCCCCCCCCCCAGCCGACCACTGCCCCCCCTCAGCCGACTACTGCCCCCGCCCAGCACTGGCTGATCCAGTCTTGCGTTTGGGGGGGGGGAGGGGCAACTCATGGCCGATCCCGAAAGCTGCCGAGCGGGGAGGGGGAAGGGAGGGCCGATGGGGACACATAAGAAAAGCCTATATATGGATGTTAGCAGTGTTTGACCCGATATTTCAAAGTGATCTTTGTCGATTCATGAATTGGATGCTTTGAGGATATTTTTTTACCCAAAGTTTTCTACAAAAAAAAAAATCAGTAAAACGTCACCTAGCAAAACTGAACTCAAGTGGGACTCCTAAGATACCAGTGGTGGAGCTGCAGTTGGGTACCTCAGACGTCAGGGTACGCCCTCAGATGTAAAGGACTCGCGTGGAGACCTCTCATGCTATAGTGAACTGAAAGGACCCATAGGAACCCATCTAGTGCTTCCGGAGATAGACGTGGACCCTCAGGAGCCCGCCAGAGCCCCCAATGAGGGATAAGTGAGGGATACCAAGTGCCAGCAATTTGCATAAACCATAACGCCCTTAGAAATAAGCATATTATGTATCAGAGACATAGCCAAGGTGGGCCACAGAGCCATGGCCACCCCCTGAAGGCGAAAAATAAAATAAAGTCAAATAAAAAATAAATAAATAAATAAAACAACTGCACCACAGCCCCCAAAAATGGTGGGCCAAATCCGAGGAGTTTTCCTTTTTTGGAGGGGGTACGACACTAGGCCGCGACCTGTGGCCACTCCCTGAGCAAAATTCTGGCTACGTGCCTGTTATGTATGTTCAGATTTCAGCAACTGACGTAGGATCAAATGCCGATGTAGTGAACTCAAAAGCCGGAAACGGCCCTTAGAGTCCCGTATGGACCCTTTTAAGAAATGAATGACCCCGCAGAGATTGGCCTGAGCTCTGACTGCGTTATGCGCCAGCCGCTGCCATATCGCCGGGCGCGACGCTAGCGGCCCTGTCGGCCACGCAGGAGAACGTAAAGGCCGCCCTTCACTGGACCTCGCATGCGGGTTGCGAGATTGTGGGTTTTGAGTTTGCGGGCATAATACTAATTCATAGAGTGATTAGACCGTTCCCTTATGGTAAATTTATGAATGCAATGAAGCCGGTACACCTTTAGAAAATTACATATAGTCGCAATACCAGCGCAACGAACCAAAATTCGACTCCAACGAAAAACCCGCAAACCTCGCAGACCTCGCAGACCTCGCAGCGAGGAAAATTGAAAGTTGACTCAAAATCAACTTTTGGAATGCGATGCAAGGTCGCTCGCAAGCTAAAAACATGCAGACTCGCTTGTTAGATGGTAGTGTGGGTCACTCAGCTTAGATTGTATCATTTGATTTTGAATAAACCCGAAAACCCAAAAACTCGCAACCCGCATGCGAGTTCCAGTGTGGGGCGGCCTTAAAGGGACCCTCCCACATTCACCAAAGTTAATGAATTGGCATGAAAGTGATGTCGCTCGGTTCAGAAAGACCGAAAACGAAAATCTACCCAATTTTATCGAAAAATATTCACCGGTTTTCAAGATATTAGACATTTACTTTTGTTTACTTTTTGGGATTTCCGCTGTTCCTAGCGACTTTATTTGAAAGTGCAGCATTTGTTGCGCGCAAAGCAGCATATACCACCGCGTGCTACCAAACGTTTAGGTAAAAGATTTAAAAATCGTTAGATCTCCGCTGACGTCACAAATTCTAAAGGGGCATTCCAATGCATTAGCACCTTAGAATCCGAAAACTGCAAGTTTGAAATTCCATATCTCCGAATTAAAGCATTTTTCGATGTTGTGAGTACCCAAACCGGTATTTTCGGGCCATGGCCACCAATTTGGCTATCTTAACTCAAAATTAATGTTAACCCTCGCCGGCACAGGCCATTTTGCGTCCTTCGACGGCACAAGGGGGGGGGGGGTGGTACGACCCCCCTCGCGTTTGGCCCCTGATTGAGCTAGAGCTTCGCGGAAAAACGAGCGTGTTGCCCGTCACGAGAGGAAGCCGATGATACCCAATTTTAAGGTCCTAGGTCATCGGGTGACCTTCCAGGTCACGTCAATGACCCGAAAACCGGGAAAATCGGGACCTATTAGAAAGTCGTAAAGTGTGGCTGCTATGTGGTTTTCCAGGGTGCTGATCACGAATATCGTGTTAGTTTTGATCAGAGATGATGTCTTTAAGCATTTAGACCAGGTCGGGTCAGGTCAGGTCAGGTCAACCGGTAGGGGTTGTGACGGGTATTCGTAATACGTGTCAACCGCCTCTGACAGCTTCGTAACATGTTACGAAGGCACCAATACTACTTCGTAAATGTTCAAGTGGTTGCTAAATTCGAATTCAGCTCCAAAAACTAGCCTAGAAACATGTAAAACTCGAAAAAGTGAACCGAGGTCACCCGAGGTCACCAAAGGTCAATGGCCTGATCTGACCTTCAGGTGACCTTGAAAGTTGAAACCCACCCTAATGTATGGGAGCAACATCAAATCACACGTTTGAACGTTTGAAACCACGAAAAGCTTGCAAACGCGCGGCTAATGCGAGCCGACATACGCCGAATCGCGATTCTGGCCAAACATGGTCTCGGAAAAGAGGTCACAGGTCAAAGGTCATTTGGGTCAGGGTCATGACATTTTCAGGGTAGGTGTAAAATTGATCAATGCGATGGTACTGAAAGTTTCGTTGCGATCGGCCGCTTTTTACGCGAGTTATTCGCGAAAAACCTTAGGGGGGTTGCATCAACCCCCCCTGTGCCGGCGAGGGTTAAGGTGGGATGGTCACTTTAAGTTAGCGAGAACACGTATTTCGATGAAAAATACAAAGCAGGCAAGTTACCTGAAAATGTCGCTATACTACGCTGTAGTTCACTACCGGAGCAACATATCTCTGAATTTTTCTTTTACACATGGGGAAGAAAAATCCGACCCGGGATTGGGACATGAAAGAAAAAAAATATTTGCGTCACCTAATGATTGTAAGCAGGTAAGCTACATTAGTCCCTTTATATTTGTACGTTAAGTCTTAAAAGAAACAATATTGTTTTACTACGGCAAAGCCATGATGTCTGGCATATCTTAACCCTCGCCCATGTAGGGGGGGGGGGGTTGGTGCAACCCCCCCCCCCCCTGAGGTTTTTCGGAAATAGTGCAAAAACGGCGGCGCGCAGCGCCGCCAAATTTTGGGTACCTTATGGGGCAACCCTTGCGCATCTTTTGATAAAAAAAATTTGACCGGGTCATGTCAGGTCACGGAGTTATGACGTCACAAAGGGAACAGCCTCTGGCCGGATTTTCACAAACTGAGTGCCAACGCCCGAGGTTTCCTGCCGGTGGTACGGACATCGGTTGATGGATCGTGATGAAACTTCCCATGCATGTTGGGGCAAGTATTTGCTATCATATGGTATAAGAAACTTGACCGGGTCAGGTCAGGTCACGGAGCTATGACGTCACAAGAGGAACAGCGTCCGGTACTATTTTTGAAAAGCGCCCGAACCACTATTTTGCTAATTCTTGTCACCTCAATGGGAATATGCAGCAATATTAGCTTCTATAGGGAGCAAATGGACCTCCCAAACCCAAAAATACAATCAGATTTCAAAAATTTAAATTTTGATTTTTCGAATTTCTGCCGCCGACTGTGACCTTGCCGACTTCCGGCGCTCCCAACGCGCCATTTTTAGAGCTAAGGAAACGAAATACATACCAAACGATAGAGAATTGATCAAGGAACACGATAGTGAAGGTTTCAAGTCGATATCTCCCACCGTTTTGCCGCAATCGCCGCGGAAAGTTGAAAAAGTCTATTTTTTTCGAAAATTTTACTTTTGACCGGTCAAAAGTAGGTCAAATGTTGACCTAGGACCAAAAATATATACCACCAATCACGAGATCTCGGCGAGAGCAATCCGTTGGTCTTTTCCGCTAAGCTCTACGACGCTCCGTTTTCAAACGCCAAGGGGGGGGGGGTCGCACCAACCCCCCCCCCCCCCCCCTGCATGGGCGAAGGTGGCAGATCGCCGTTTACGGGCGAGGGTTAACCGTATTAGTGGCAGGCTCCTGGCTACCCCTATTAGTGGCAGGGGGAGGGCTGTTTAGGACCCCCTTGATATCTCGAGATCTAACCGGCCGATTTGTTAAATTCAAACTGTATTTAATTCCCCTTAAACCTCTCCAGGCTAGGGCCTTTTCCGTACCACTGACGGCGAGGGGGGTTGGTACGACCCCCCTGGCGATTGGCTCCTATGGCATTTAGAAACGCCAAATTTACAGGGTAGGTGGGCCCAAACACTCATAAGAGATTCTCCCCCTTGAAAATTTGGTGACTCTAAGTCAATATTTCGGGGGTTCAGGAGGGGGGGGGGGGTATAAGTGCAAAATTTTCGCTAAAACGTCTAAAGTTTTTCGCTTATAGCTTTTACCTAGTAAATATAGAGAGCAAAAATAAAAACACCAGTGAACTCAGGACGTCCGTGCGCATCGAATAATATGCTTTGTTACCAATTTAAGTGAACTTTAAGTTTTCTTTAAAATAAGTGAACTTAAAATAATTAACTAACCCGCGTCCCACTGGGGGGGGGGAGGGGTCTATTCATAGCCCCTCCCGTTTTTCTGCAATAACTTCTAAGACACTTGACGTATTGACGCCAAACTTTCAGTACCTTCGGCTGCACCTTGTATCAAATTGTACCTTGGCTGCACCTTGTATGTGTATGACACCTTGTATCAAAAAATGAACTTCGTAGCTACCATAGGTCGGCCGGAAAGACGTCAGAGTGACGTCATGTTCGGTCGATTTCGACGCAAAGCATTGAACCACGGCAATCGCTCCCAAGAGCTCAGTTTTTAAGCTAGATCCAAGGCTATAGAACTCTAGGTAAGGACACCAGCCGTTTGACCTTGAACGCCGCCGGCCGACCGATGACGTCATCGGAGGCAAGCCGGCTCGGCGGAAGCATCGGGCGAACGCATAACGGAGGGGCGTTGGAACGTTGCGGGAGCCGGGGAGAGATTTTAATGCGTTTGCATATCACCATCGTTATATTTTTTTTTAGCAAGACTGCATTCTTATAAACCTCAATGCATCTTAGGCTTGGATGGTGCGTACATTCGTAGAACGGTCCGACGTCGAAGCTGTCTATGTACAGGTCTCGCGGGTTTTAGCGGTAGGTCGCTCGGCGAGCGGGAGGGCAACCGCCTCTGTATCGGTGACCATTTGCTCCGCCCAGTTACTCGCGAGCGCGTACTACGGCACATAGTAAAGTGGGGAGGGAAGGGTTAGAGTGGCAGCCTGCGTAGAGGCTAAAACCGGTTTCTATCGTCTGGGCCGGCGACACGGCATGCGGTCAGGGGACGGAGAAAGGTCAGAGGTCACTCACAATGTGCAGTACCGCGTCCCGTCCTCTGCGTGCTGACCAGCCCACGCACACTGATGCAAATGGGGTTCACGAGTGGCCATAAATACCCAAAAGTCAAGTTTACCAAATCGAGTTAATTGCGATATGGCCGAGTAGACAAATGTTTGGGGCATCTGAAATCACATGGTTTTCATGTTTTTGTCAAAACCGGCCTTGTGTATAATCGTCAGAAGTCGTGACATTTTCTAGGTCGTAAAATGACGGTCAGACACTCGCAAGTTCAAACGCCGCTGGTTTGCGTTCATTTCGTACAAATTGAAAAAAAATTATGCATGGGAATAATCCCCAAAGCCTTCTGCTTCTAATGCCGGGTCACAAAAAGCCGTATCTCATTCGCTTTGGCGGTAATCTGACTATTTATCATCATGTTGCAATCGCAGTTTTTTACTAAGACAAAAATGCTTTCGTTTCACCTACAGCACTTACCTAATACAGTGTGTGCCCGTTAGTCCACCATACCATAGCCTTCCCTAATCATTTCTGAGTCGCATCGTGAAAGAATTAAGGCGCTAGCACAGGGCTGACCGGCGCTACAGAGGTTTTTGTCCGGGCGGTCGGGTGCCGCAGTGGGCGGCGGGCGCGGCGGCGGCGCGCGGTCGGGCGGGCGGCCGCGGTCGCTACGGCGTAAGTAGCGAGCGTGGCGGCCGACGCCCGGGGCCCCGGGGTCGGCCCCCGGCTGCCCTGCAACCCACCTAGTGACTCCCCTGTCCTCTGACTCCCCGTTAGTCGTTTGTAAACACCCGCAAGTGACGTTTGTTCCGCGTGTGTCCAACGAAAAACTCGCTGAGCTAAGTGAGAAGTGTGAAGAGAAGTTACGCGCCGAGCTGAAAGTTTTCGTAAAAGATTTGCAGGGTAAATGGAATAAATGTGGCCGCAGGACGAGGAAAATGATAGTCAAGTACGGCTCTTGGCTGAAGGGTGAAATCGTTGTTAAATATGACAGCGGCGACTCGTCATCGCAAGTGGCTGAGGACGCTCCCACCATCTCATGTGACCATGATAGCCCAAGTGACGATGAGAGCTCAAGTGACGATGAGTGCGTCGTTAGCACAGATGACGGCAACGACGAGCAGAGTGGCAGACAGTCACGAGCATCACGTGGTCGGCCACCAACTCCGTACGAGCAGCAGAGCTCCCGAAGCAAGCGACGCGCATCCCGTGAACTGTCACGGAGTCAGCCCACTCAGAAATTGGTTCATGCGGCCTCTCAGGGTGCCCGCGAAGCTAAGATTCATGACTTGTTCTATGTACTAAAGGAGACTATGGCTTCTCCTGGCAGGCCTAGTAAGACGCGTCGCACACTGCAAGAAGCCAGCAGCCGGCCTGAGATCGAGAGATTGAGCGGGGACAGCGCACTGGCGCTAAATGTGTCATTGGATCTCACTCAGCGTGGTTATCAGTATCAGATACTACGCAACAAGTCAAAAGATGCTGCCAAAGGTCACATATATCCAGCATATATGTAGAGAAGTGTTAGCTGCAAAAGAACGGTGCTATCCGTCAGGAAGTGCCATTTCCGTCATTGACACCCGAGCATCTGTCACACTGCAAGGACTTCTGGACCACACCACAGGCCGGCTCGCCCAGGCTCACGACATCCTCAGCCAGCTGGACCCGCCGGCTGACCAGCCGGGACCGAGCAGTCCTGCGCCTGTTCACGGACTACTGGACATTAAATGGGGCTTCGACGGCGCCACAGGTCAGTCCGTCTATAAGCAGCCGCTTCAAGAGGAGGACAGATCAGCGGAACAAAGTCTCTTTCGCACAACTATGGTACCATTGCGACTGCAGCTGGATGGACGAGAGCTGTGGCGAAATCCAACACCGTCATCCACTCAGTTCTGTCGGCCGCTTTGTCTCCAATATGCGAAAGAGACTGCACAGCTATCACAGGAGGAGCGTCGGCGAGTCGAGGGCGAGGTAAGCCAGCTACATCCCACCGTACTCGTGACCCCCGGTGGTCGGGTGGTGACCATCCAGCACAAACTTCATCTCAACATGGTGGATGGGAAAGTTGTAAGTGCTTTGTCTGGGATGCCTACATCGAACTGTTCCGTGTGCGGCGCCAAGCCATCGGAGCTGAATGATATCGCCGCAGCACGCAGCCGTCCCGCGCGCACCGACGGCTACGAGTATGGCATGTCAACACTTCACGCCTGGATACGCATCTTCGAGTGTGTGCTCCATCTATCATACAAGCTGGAAGTCAGGAAATGGCAGGCACGCAGTGCTGAGGACAAGAAAGCCGTTCAGGCAAAAAAGGCTGAGATCCAGAGACGGTTCCGTGACGAAATGGGACTTGTAGTGGACATGCCAAAAGCAGGCGGTAGTGGCACAACAAATGATGGCAGCACGGCCCGCCGTGCATTCCGGGACGTCAACAAACTAAGCCAGGTGACAGGCGTGGACCGAGACCTGCTCAACAAGTTCTCCATCATCCTCTCCGCCCTGGCATCAACTACGGCCGAGATCGATGAGGTGAAGTACGGGGAGTTCACGATGGAAACCGCACAACTCTATAACGAGAAGTACTACTGGTACTGCATGCCTCCAACGCTGCACAAACTTCTGGCACACGGACAGGCCATCATCTCCACCCTCGAAATGCCAGTCGGAATGTACAGCGAGGAGGCGCAAGAAGCCCGGAATAAAAACACGAGGGACTACCGTCAACACCACGCCAGGAAAACGTCGCGGCTGGAGACGATGACCGACCAGCTGCACTATCTGCTCGTCACGAGTGACCCAGTGATCTCTGAGATCATCCGCTCCGACATCACCAGGGCGCGACGGCAGCTGAAGCCAAGGGAGGCCGCTGGTGACTACGTCGACATCAGCCCGCTCCTGATGTCATCAGGTACGGAGGCGGGAGATGAGGATGATTAGTGTACAGTGCAGCCATGCGTGCACTCCGTGCGGTTCCATATCATAGGTATATGTTTTGTCAGTGATTATTCATTTAAACGAGAACAATAACCGGACGGATAAATTTGATCGGTGATCAAAGCTATCAATACAGAACTGAACAATTGCTTATTGTGTTAGCCGTTCACCGTAAGCTCGAGCAGATAACCGACAGTTAGCAGTATTCCATCAAATGTTAAATGTTTTTTTTTAAAGAGATATCCTGCAACTGTAGCGCCTCGCGATGAAAACCAACGGATTGCTTTCACAGCGAGTTTCAAGTTGGACAGACGTTTGAATTTGACCTGCTATAACTAGGTCAAATATTGACCTAAAGTCAAAAGTAATATGCTCACTCCCCAGATCTTGTCGAGAACAATCCGTTGGTTTTTGTCGAGAGGCGCTAGGACGCTTCGTTTAGGCACAGCGGGGGATGATGCAACGACGAACCCCGGCCCCGCTGTCGCCGCCCGCCGCGCGGCGTCCGGGCGGCGCGGCGGCGCGGCCACCCGGGCCGCCCGCTGCGCCGCGGCACCCGACCGTGCCGGACGAAAACTTCTGTAGCGCCGGTCAGCCCTATGCTAGCGCCTTAATTCTTTCGCGATGCGACTCAGAACTGATTAGGGAATGCTATGATATGGTGCACTAACGGGCACACACTGTGTGAAGTGCTGTAGGTGAATTGAAAGCAAATATTTTTGGTGAAAAACTGCGGTTGCAACATGATTGCAAATAGTTAGTTCACCGCCAAATCAAAATAGATACGGCTTTTTGTGACGTGGCATTAGAAGCAGCAGGTTTTGGGGATCATTTTCATGTATAATTTTTGCAGTTTGTATGACATGAACGCACGCTAGCGACACTTGAATTTTAAGTACCTGACAGTCATTTTACGACATCGAAAATGTCTCGACTTCTGACAATCCTACACGAGGCCGGTTTTGACAAAAACATTAAAATCATACTTTTTCAGACACCCAAACATTTGCCTGAATGACCATATTACGATTTATTCGATTAAGTGAACTTGAATTTTGGGCCTTTTTCGTATTTATGGCCACTCGTGAACCCCATTTGCATCACTGTGCCACGACCTCGGCCGTTGGCCAATCGGCATTGAACGGTCAAGGCCACCCGTAGCCAGCGGGCGGGGTGAGCCGGCAGCGTGCCGATTCATAGGTAGTCGTTCAAAGTTTTAGCCGAGGTCGGGAGACGACTGTAATGTTATATCTAGGGAACAGTTCTGTCATTTAACCCGCGCCCCGTTAGGGTCTCCCGAGCATCGGTCCCATGGGGGGAGCATTTTGCCCCCCCCCTAATATCTCGAGAACCACGCAAAATAACGACAAGCAGCAAACGGTGTTGGATGGCCCCAACGAGGAAATACCTTTTGGCTCAATTTCATTGACCTCGGTCAAAAAGATGACGTCACAGGTCAGGTCAAATGTCGAATTTTCACCGTTTACAGGCAATTTCAAGAAATGTGTTGTAAAATCAATTAAAATGCATGTCATTCATCGATGAGGAATCGATGAATGACAATTTTCGATGGGGAATAGGTAGTTCGTCAAACACATATTTTGCTATTTTGGGTCACTAATACAAGGCCAGGTCACAGAGGTCAGGTCACTGAAGGTCACAATATGAAGATAACTATTATGTGATGCATGTTTTCTGGTCCATTTTACATGACAAATGCGAATATGTGGGTCAGGCAACCCTTGGGGCCAGTTTAGGTTATGTTCTGGTGAAGGTAAGGTAAAGTTCAGGTCAGATTAGGCCAAATTTCTAATTTGATGTTTTTGCATAAAATGGGTATCGATTCGATGCAGCTCGTCACGGGGAGTCTAATGGTCGTCTTTGTTTTGCGCTACGTGGTCTGGAATTGTTAAAAAAAATGAGTTAAAAAATTGACCTCATCAATTTTGAACAGCTTTTTCGCTATAACTAGGCCACAAAAGGAGGTATCGAGCTACAATTTGTTATGTAGATCGAACAGAGCAGGGACTATCATATATAGTTTGTTAAGTCGAAAAAAATTTGTTATGTAGATCGAACAGAGCAGGGACTATCATATATAGTTTGTTAAGTCGAAAAACTTTTTCGTTACTTTATAACAGACCAATTTTCTAATTTGGGGGGTCAAAAGCTCAAAAGTTTGAAAATCCCAGATTGCAGTTTTGTAGCGCCGTCTTTTCTCTACACGACCAGATAGAGAGATTTAAAATTACTTGTTAGCTGTAGCTTTTGTGAGCGTTTCAAGATTTTTTTTTTGCTCATTTTTGCTCGAACATGACCCCAGTTCGACCTCAATAACTCCTGATCTAAGGTAACCTAAGACTTGAAGTTGTGTGTGAAGGTGTCAAATTGATGCCCGGGTAGCTATTGAAAATTTGGCGTGGCTGCGCGCCGCCGTTTTCTTGCTATTCAGGAAAATATACAGGGGGCTATATTGCCCACCCCCCAACGGGACGAGGGTTAACCGTGACCTGCTGAGTATGGAGGTCGTTTCACAGCAAAGTTTTGTTTTCTGCCGCACTATGTTTCCAAAACTTTGTCACAAAACTGACCAAGAAGTAGGTACGTTGCATGAATGAAATTGCAGTACTATTAAAAAGGAAACTAGGCGTAAAAGTTTAAGTAACATCACTGTATGCTGATTTTTTTGCGTTATTTTTAGAACAAAATCGATGTAAGCCACTAAAAAATCAAAACATAACATCGT